TAGATTCTGTCTCTCACAGTTGAAGTGTACCTATGATAAAAATTACAGACCTCTACATGCTTTGTAAGTAGGAAAACCTGCAAAATCGGCAGTGTGTCAAATACTTGTTCTCCCCACTGTATATCCACAGTAAAACAAGTCCTATATCAACATAACCTGAAAGGCCACTCGGCAAGGAAGAAGCCACTGCTCCAAAACCGCCATAAAAAAGCCAGACAACGGTTTGCAACTGCACATGGGGACAAAGATCGTACTTTTTTGAGAAATGTCCTCTGGTTTGATGAAACAAAAATAGAACTGTTTGGCCATAATGACCATTGTTATGTTTGGAGGAAAAAGGGGGTCCCTTGCAAGCCGAAGAACACGATCCCAACCGTGACGCACAGGGGTGGCTGCATCATGCTGTGGGGGTGCTTTGCTGCAGGAGGGACTGGTGCACTTCACAAAATAGATGGCATCATGAGGAAGGAAAATTATGTGGATATATTGAAGCAACATCTAAATACATCAGTCAGGAAGTTAAAGCTTGGTCGCAAATGGGTCTTCCAAATGGACAATGACCCCAAGCATACTTCCAAAGTTGTGGCAAAATGGCTTAAGGACAACAAAGTCAAGGTATTGGAGTGGCCATCATAAAACCCTGACCTCAATCCTATAGAACATTTGTGGGCAGAACTGAAAAGGCGTGTGTGAGCAAGGAGGCCTACAAACCTGACACAGTTACACCAGCTCTGTCAGGAGGAATGGGCCAAAATTCACCCAACTTATTGTGGGAAGCTTGTGGAAGGCTACTCGAAACGTTTGACCCAAGTTAAACAATTGAAAGGCAATGCTATCAAATACTAATTGAGTGTATGTAAACTTCTGACCCACTGGGAATGTGATGAAAGAACTAAAAGCTCAAATAAATAATTCTCTCTACTATTATTCTGACATTTCACATTCTTAAAATAAAGTGGTGATCCTAACTAACCTAAGACAGGGAATTTTTACTAGGATTAAATGTCAGGAACTGTGAAAAACTGAGTTTAAATGTATTTGGCTAAGGTGTATGTAAACTTCCAACTTCAACTGTACTTCTCCCCATCTTAGCTACTGTTGTATCAATTTGTTTTGACCATGACAGTTTACAATTCAGGGTTACTCCAAGCAGTTTAGTCACCTCAACTTGCTCAATTTCCACATTATTTGTTACAATATTTAGTTGAAGTTTAGGGTTTAGTGGATGATTTGTCCCAAATTCAATGCTTTTAGTTTTAGAAATATTTTAGGACTAACTTATTCCTTGCCACCCACTCTGAAACTAACTGCAGCGCTTTGTTAAGTGTTGCAGTCATTTCAGTCGCTGTAGTAGCTGACGTGTATAGTGTTGAGTCATCCGCATACATAGACACACTGGCTTTACTCAAAGCCAATGGCATGTCATTAGTAAAGATTGAAAACGGGGCCTAGACAGCTGCCCTGGGGAATTCCTGTTTCTACCTGGATTATGTTGGAGAGGCTTCCATTAAAGAACACCCTCTGTGTTCTGTTAGACAGGTAACTCTTTATCCACATAATAGCAGGGGGTGTAAAGCCATAACACATACGTTTTTCCAGCAGCAGACTATGATCAATAATGTCAAAAGTCGCACTGAAGTCTAACAAAACAGCCCCCACAATCTTTTTATCATCAATTTCTCTAAGCCAATCATCAGTCATTTGTGTAAGTGCTGTGCTTGTTGAATGCCCTTTTCTATAAGCATGCTAAAAGTTTGTTGTCAATTTGTTTACTGTGAAAAAGCATTGTATCTGGTCAAACACCATTTTTTCCCAAATGTTTACTAAGGGTTAGTAACAGGCTGATTGATCGGCTATTTGAGCCAGTAAAGGGGGCTTTACTATTCTTAGGTAGCGGAATGACTTTTGCTTCCCTCCAGGCCTGAGGGCACACATTTTAGTAGGCTTAGATTGAAGATATGGCAAATAGGAGTGGCAATATCATCCGCTATTATCCTCAGCAATTTTCCATCCAAGTTGTCACACCCCAGTGGCTTGTCATTGTCAATTTTTCACCTCTTCCACACTCACTTTACGGAATTCAAAATTACAATGCTTGTCTTTCATCATTTGGTCAGATATACTTGGATGTGTAGTGACATGTCATGCCTAAGTTTGCTAATCTTGCCAATGAAAAAATTATTAAAGTAGTTGGCAATATCAGTTGGCTTTGTGATGAATTAGCCATCTGATTCAATGAATTGTGCGGAGTTTGTATTTTTTCCCAAAATGTCATTTAAGGTGCTCCAAAGCTTTTTACTATCATTCTTTATGTCATTTATCTTCTTTTTTTTTTGGGGGGGGTTGGTAGATCAGCTTAATATTGCAGATAGATTGTAACTTCCATCAATGTAATTGTCTGCATCACTTCCAATCCCCCATGTTTTTTTTTATATATACTCCCCTTTATTACTTTTCAACCCCGCCATCCTTTCCCTACTTGGGGTAAATTAGTGAACAACAATGCTTAGGCCTCTACTTCCAGCTTATACTTACTATCTACATTTTATGGACACAGTCAATTTTACAATAATTATATTTTGTTTGTTTTTTCTCCTGAACTTCTTCTACTCTCAACCTCTCCGATCATTTTCATGATGTCCATCCGGTTTGCTTCTATATGCCATATCTTTCTAACTATGCTCTTTCACAAAAGCTCCCAACATACAACCTATATACTTATTATGGACACAGTATGCTTACATTATTAGTTATCTTGTTATTATTTGTTGTTAGTTGTTATTAATCCCATCCTTCAACTCCATTCAATACCTCCCATCTATCTCTTAACACCATCCATATAGGATTTATATTTGCCATATATATTTCAACTGTACTGTGATGTTTTACAAAAGTTCTGAACCTTTCTATTCTCATTGTTTCTGCAGATTGTGAATTAAAAATAAACATTTTTGCTAAAATACTGGACTATCTGTTCCTGAAGTTTATCTCCATCCCATGTCCTTGACTACACACCCAGACCAGCTGCAGGGAGCTAGAGGGAACCATCCCTTCTCAGAAGCACAGCATTTACACTAAAGAAATGTCTCTACTATTGTTAAGCATATTATAATATATGTAATGGAAAAATACCTGTAGAGCCATTTCATCATGGCTCTGTTTTAACCCTTTAATTGGTTCTTAATCCATAGGCATATAGGGCATATAGGCGTTTCATTCTACAACATGCATCATTCATATAATTGGTTTGTTATGTTGTCTGCCCTGAAGTGAGACAGAGTAGTTAACTAGAAATCTCCAATATATTCCCCCTTTGGGACTTAATAGGTCCCACACAAACACTGCAAATGTATATAGTGACTAATATATGAATATATGGATATGTAGTGACTAACATCCTTGCATTAAGGTTATATTTTCAAACATCACAGTCTTCAGCAGTTTAGTTTAATATTGATGCATACATTGTAACATTTGACTAAATACTGCCTCTATGGTCTCCTGAGTGGCGTAGTGGTCTAAAGCTAGCTGTGCCGCTAGAAATCCTGGTTCGAATCCAGGCTCTGTCGTAGCCGGCCGCGACCGGGAGACCCATGGGGCGGCGCACAATTGGCCCAGCGTCGTCCAGGGTATGAGAGGGAATGGCCGGCAGGGATGTAGTTCAGTTGATAGAGCATGGCATTTGCAACGCCAGGGTTGTGGGTTCGATTCCCACGGGGGGCCAGTATGAAATAAATAAATAAAAAATAATGTATGCACTCACTACCTGTAAGTTGCTCTGGATAAGAGCGTCTGCTAAATTACTAAAATGTAGATGTAGCTTTTGTAAAATGAAACATAGCCAACAGTGAGTGATAGGTGTCAAAAAGTTCATTGTTCAAAGTTCCAAATAAATTTTTGCAGATTGTGCAAAACGCCCCCGTCAGAGGACTCCAATTTTGATACGGTAAAGCTTGACAACATTCAGCTGTTTTCGTGATATGTATTATCTAACGCTGACAATTCCTTTCCTTTTTGCTGTCTTAACAGTTCTGTCAACATTTAGCAACTAAGCTAGCAATATTAGAAAATCCGTTAGCTATATTTCAGACGTACAAATTTGGATATTAAATGATGTGTTGTCTGTCGCGCAGTCGAATTTTACAATATGCAGCGTGTCCCACAAAATGTGTACATGTAACTTTTTTGAAAACTCTCAAAACCTAACTTAACTTGCATAAATTGCACTGAAAATCTGTGGTCAGCTAGCTAGAAGGGTGTCGTTAGTCGCAAAACGTACTGTTATTTTCCAGTCCATTTAAATGTTGAGCTCGAGGTGATTTAGTCATCCAACCGCTAGAGACTGTCTGAAGTTAGGGGGTGTGCGATGTAGGGGGAAAATTTGCTAGAAAGCTAAAACGCTATACCTAGCTAGCGAGTTGATCGCTGTGGCTACCCAAAAAGGACTTGTTTTGAAAGTTGGATCATCTTATCCTTTGAGGCTTTAAAAGCATTCTTACACTATGATATTGAACATTCAAAGCAACTGGAAAACATCCATGGCATGCATTGTCACCTTAGCTTGCTACATAACTTCTGAGTGATAGGAAGCACGAGCACCACAACCAATCAGCCTACATTACTGTACACACACCCATCATTACTATGACAATTAGCTTAGCCATGTCAGCAAATGACTGCTGTCTGAACACATACAAATCCAATTTGGTCACTTGTAACTTGCTGTTTGCACAGTCAGTATTCCAAAACGGATTTGGAAAACCAAACTGATTTGAGTATTAAGGCTTGCAAGGTTTTAGAAGTTCTCTCCAAACCATCTATTATTGTGTCCACATAGTACTTGTGTTTTAGTATAGATGAATGTATTTAGGTGAGTGTGGTGCAGGACTCTGTGTACATCTCTGGCCAGTCCAACATGATTTAGTATTGATAATGTAAATGTATAGATAAATGTATGGATAATGTATAAATAATGTATTGTATGTTATATTATATTCTAGGTGAGTGTGGTTCAGGACTCTGTGAACATCTCTGGCCAGTCCAACATGAACATGCTGAAGGTCCCAGAGTGCCAGCTGTCAGACGACCTGGGGAGCCTGTGGGAGTGTTCTCGCTTCACTGACTGTTCCCTCTATGTGGGGGGGCAGGAGTTCAAGGCACACAAATCCATCCTGGCAGGTACCACTACTACTACTACTACACCACTACTACTACTGCTACACCACCACAACACTACTACACCACTACTACTACTACTACTACTACTACTACTACTACTACACCTACACCTACTACCACTACTACTACTACTACTACTACTACTACTACTACTACTACACCACAACTAAATACAAAACCATACTACTACTACACTACTTCTACACCACTACTACACTGCTACTAATAGTACTACTACACCACTAATACTACACCAGAAGTACTACACCACCACTACTAATACAGTACTACACCACTACTACACCATTACTACAATACTACCACTACTACTACTACACTAATATAACTGCTACACTAGTACTACTACTGCTATTACTACATCACTACTACTGCACTATTACTATTACTACTACTACTGTACTACACCACTTATACACAATTAGTATGCCACAACTACACCATTACTACTACACCACTACTACTACACTACTAGTTCCCTCTATGTGGGAGGGCAGGAGTTTAAGGCATACAAATCCATCCTGGCAGGTAATACCGCTCAGCCAAGCAGTACCTGGGTTCTAATCCCCTGACCCTAGCCCTCCCCTCCCTCTGGCTATCTCCCATACCCTCCGTCCAGCAGTACCTGGGTTCTATTCCCCTGACCCTAGCCCTCCCCTCCCTCTGGCTATCTCCCATACCCTCCGTCCAGCAGTACCTGGGTTCTAATCCCCTGACCCTAGCCCTCCCCTCCCTCTGGCTATCTCCCATACCCTCCGTCCAGCAGTACCTGGGTTCTAATCCCCTGACCCTAGCCCTCCCCTCCCTCTGGCTATCTCCCATACCCTCCGTCCAGCAGTACCTGGGTTCTAATCCCCTGACCCTAGCCCTCCCCTCCCTCTGGCTATCTCCCATACCCTCCGTCCAGCAGTACCTGGGTTCTAATCCCCTGACCCTAGCCCTCCCCTCCCTCTGGCTATCTCCCATACCCTGCGTCCAGCAGTACCTGGGTTCTAATCCCCTGACCCTAGCCCTCCCCTCCCTCTGGCTATCTCCCATACCCTCCGTCCAGCAGTACCTGGGTTCTAATCCCCTGACCCTAGCCCTCCCCTCCCTCTGGCTATCTCCCATACCCTCCGTCCAGCAGTACCTGGGTTCTAATCCCCTGACCCTAGCCCTCCCCTCCCTCTGGCTATCTCCCATACCCTAGCCCTCCCCTCCCTCTGGCTATCTCCCATACCCTCCGTCCAGCAGTACCTGGGTTCTAATCCCCTGACCCTAGCCCTCCCCTCCCTCTGGCTATCTCCCATACCCTCCGTCCAGCAGTACCTGGGTTCTAATCCCCTGACCCTAGCCCTCCCCTCCCTCTGGCTATCTCCCATACCCTCCGTCCAGCAGTACCTGGGTTCTAATCCCCTGACCCTAGCCCTCCCCTCCCTCTGGCTATCTCCCATACCCTGCGTCCAGCAGTACCTGGGTTCTAATCCCCTGACCCTAGCCCTCCCCTCCCTCTGGCTATCTCCCATACCCTCCGTCCAGCAGTACCTGGGTTCTAATCCCCTGACCCTAGCCCTCCCCTCCCTCTGGCTATCTCCCATACCCTCCGTCCAGCAGTACCTGGGTTCTAATCCCCTGACCCTAGCCCTCCCCTCCCTCTGGCTATCTCCCATACCCTAGCCCTCCCCTCCCTCTGGCTATCTCCCATACCCTCCGTCCAGCAGTACCTGGGTTCTAATCCCCTGACCCTAGCCCTCCCCTCCCTCTGGCTATCTCCCATACCCTGCGTCCAGCAGTACCTGGGTTCTAATCCCCTGACCCTAGCCCTCCCCTCCCTCTGGCTATCTCCCATACCCTCCGTCCAGCAGTACCTGGGTTCTATTCCCCTGACCCTAGCCCTCCCCTCCCTCTGGCTATCTCCCATACCCTCCGTCCAGCAGTACCTGGGTTCTAATCCCCTGACCCTAATTGGATATTGCCAGTAGCTGCAATATGAACATGTGTTGTTAATATTATGTTATGTGGTTTTTGCCTTGAATCTTACTGATGTTGTTGTCTTTGATTGACAGCGAGATCTCCCGTCTTTAGCGCCATGTTTGAACATGAGATGGAGGAGAGTAAAAAGGTAGGTGTAGTTTTATTTTAACGGAATGACCGTTCCAGATATGAAAGATACTACTGGTTTACTCCTCTAGTAGACACAGTGATTTCAAACACACTGTTGTCGCCCTCCCTCTGTGTTCTGTCTCAGAACCGTGTGGACATCAGTGATGTGGACCCAGACGTATTTAAGGAGATGATGGGATTCATCTACACAGGTAAAGCCCCCAACCTGGAGAAGATGGCCGACAACCTGCTGGCAGCTGCTGACAAAGTAAGTCATAGACATAAGAAATAATCTGCCTGTTTCAAATGTTGTTGTGTCAGCGCTTCCTCATTCAGCACTTCCCTTCTCTCTCAGTATGCTGTACTGTTAAGGGGAGATGGTGTAACCCTATAGTTCCCTTCTCTCTCAGTACGCTGTCCTGTTAAGGGGAGATGGTGTAACCCTACACTTCCCTTCTCTCTCAGTACGCTGTACTGTTAAGGGGAGATGGTGTAACCCTACACTTCCCTTCTCTCTCAGTACGCTGTACTGTTAAGGGGAGATGGTGTAACCCTATAGTTCCCTTCTCTCTCAGTACTGTTAAGGGGAGATGGTGTAACCCTACACTTCCCTTCTCTCTCAGTACGCTGTACTGTTAAGGGGAGATGGTGTAACCCTATAGTTCCCTTCTCTCTCAGTACGCTGTACTGTTATGGGGAGATGGTGTAACCCTACACTTCCCTTCTCTCTCAGTACGCTGTACTGTTAAGGGGAGATGGTGTAACCCTATAGTTCCCTTCTCTCTCAGTAGATTGGACTGTTATAATAATAATAATATAATATGCCATTTAGCAGACGCTTTTATCCAAAGCGACTTACAGTCTTGTGCGCATACATTTTTACGTATGGGTGGTCCCGGGGATCGAACCCACTACCCTGGCGTTACAAGCGCCATGCTCTACCAATTGAGCTACAGAAGACCACAAAGTTGTATTGTCAGTGATCCAATTTAGATGTTTTGTCATTTAGCAGACGCTCTTATCCAGAGCGACTTCCAATTAGTGAGTGCATACATTTTTCATACTGGCCCCCGTGGGAATCGAACCCACAACCCTTGCGTTGCAAGTGCAATGCTCTACCAACTGAGCTACAGGAGGGCTGTAACCCTACAGCTCTCTTCTCTCCCAGTACACTGTTAGACTGTTCCTCTTCCATTCAGACCGTTCTGACCCCTAACCAACCTCTGTCTCTCCTCCAGTACGCATTGGAGCGTTTAAAGGTGATGTGTGAAGAGGCTCTGTGCAACAGCCTCTCTGTGGAGAACGTGGCTGATACCCTCATCCTGGCAGACTTACACAGTGCCGAGCAGCTCAAAGCACAAGCCATAGATTTTATCAACAGGTAAGTATCTGTAGAAAGTCCCAGTGATGAATTCCTCCTGCCAGCTGTTTACCTTCTCTCAGCGCTGCTCTGTTATCTCCTATAGGTGCAGCGTCCTCCGACAGCTGGGCTGTAAAGATGGGAAAAACTGGAATAGCAAGTATGTAACTATCTGATATACATGTAAATGTGACACCAGATTAATAACAAACTCTTATCTCTTCCAAAGAGATGCATTGGGGAAGGGGAGGGGAGGGAAGGGGAGGGGGGGTTAGATTAATAGACTCTACCTGGATAAAACTTTCGGAATGGAACTGTTTTAGAATATGAAATGAAAAATGAGTTTTATTCTGTGTGATGTTGTTAAGGACACCTTCAACCTAGATTGGTTTTCAATGTCTCTGTGTTAATTTCCTGTCTGTGTGGTTGTGTTGCAGTTATGCCACGGACATAATGGAGACGGCAGGCTGGAAGTCAATGATCCAGTCCCACCCTCACTTAGTGGCTGAGGCCTTCAGAGCCCTGGCATCGGCACAGTGCCCACCCTTCGGCCTGCCGAGGAAACGCCTAAAACAGTCCTGACTGCTACAGCCCACTGATACAGACACTAGGAGCTGAGGCAGCCCTCTGATCCAGACACTAGGAGCTGAGGCAGCCCTCTGATCCAGACACTAGGAGCTGACAGCTGAGGCAGCCCTCTGATCCAGACACTAGGAGCTGAGGCAGCCCTCTGATCCAGACACTAGGAGCTGACAGCTGAGGCAGCCCTCTGATCCAGACACTAGGAGCTGAGGCAGCCCTCTGATCCAGACACTAGGAGCTGAGGCAGCCCTCTGATCCAGACACTAGGAGCTGAGGCAGCCCTCTGATCCAGACACTAGGAGCTGAGGCAGCCCTCTGATCCAGACACTAGGAGCTGAGGCAGCCCTCTGATCCAGACACTAGGAGCTGAGGCACCATGGAGACACACAGGACTATGAAGAAGAGACCCCCCCCTCTCCCCTAATAGAAACCAACAGGATGAGCTGGACAGTCTATCTGAACAGGGCTGGGAGCATGGGAGGCGGACTTCAACTGGTGGAAAGTAACGTTTGGTTTTGGTCCTCAAGTTTTGTCTGCTATTTTCCTGTCATTTCAAATGGCCTTAATCTATCTGCCATTGCTCTGGAGCTGATCGACTGTGTTCTCTCTATTTAACTCTGTGCCTGACCCGTCCCACAGACCAGGCTGCCCCGTCCCACAGACCAGGCTGCCCCGTCCCACAGACCAGGCTGCCCCGTCCCACAGACCAGGCTGCCCCGTCCCACAGACCAGGCTGCCCCGTCCCACAGACCAGGCTGCCCCGTCCCACAGACCAGGCTGCCCCGTCCCACAGACCAGGCTGCCCCGTCCCACAGACCAGGCTGCCTCCAGATTGCACTAGTTTCCGTCATTTTGATATGGAGTTCTATAGGGACGTGTTAAGGGTTTGATTCATGGGAAATATTATATATTTGTAATGTTTAGCCCATTTTGTGACTAGACATTAAAAAGCGTGAACACTTTCAGTGCAAGGTCAATTCTTTACACTTTTTAAAAGATGAGTATGCCCCATATTGATGGGCCCATTTCTATGTAAATGACAGTTGAACCATCTTCAGAAGACCGGTGTAAAAGTCTGTTCTGTTTCCTGGCATTAAAAGACACAGTGTTGATGATGCTGTTATTGTATATAAGAGATAAACATGTCGATACTCTCTGCCTCTGAACTAGAAAAACTATTGGACGAATAGGAAAGGATCTTTCCCCAGGCAGTCTCCCATTGGACAATCACTTATGCAAAGATCAATCTATAGATTCAACTTCCAGAGATTTAGCTTTCCATACTACTACCAACTTGCAAATATGTATACACTGAGTATACAAAACATTAGGAACACCTTCTCTTTCCATGACATAGACTGACCAGGTGAATCCATGTGAAAGCTATGATCCCTTATTGATGTTATTTGTTAAATCCACTTCAATGAGTGTAGATGAAGGGGAGGAAACAAGTTAAAGAAGGATTTTTAAACCTCGAGACAATTGATACATGGATTGTGTATGTGTGCCATTCAGAGTGAATGGGCAAGACAAAATATTGAAGTGCCTTTGAACAGGGTACGGTAGTAGGTGCCAGGCGCACCGGTTTGAGTGTGTCAAGAACTGCAATGCTGCTGGGTTTTTCACACAACAGTTTCCTGTGTGTGTCAAGAACGGTCCACCACCCAAAGGACATCAAACCAACTTCACACCACTGTGGAAAGCATTGGAGTCAACATGGGCCAGCATCAGTGTGGAACGCTTTCGACACCTTGTAGAGTCCATGCCCTGAAAAATTGGGGCTGTTCTGAGGGCAAAAAGGGGTTGCAACTCAATATTAGGAAGGTGTTCCTAATGTTTTGCACACTGTGTATATTCTCAATCTATTGTGCTTAACAAAAGAAAGACTAATGCATGGTCCTGTACTGGTGAGGAGAAGTGTCCAGGTTCACATTTTGTCATTATCTAAAAGTATCTTTAAAGGATTTAAATGAATTGATTCCAGTCCCAGTGCAGACTAGGCTCCAACAGTCTTGGACCTGTATAGGGTATAGGGTTAGGGTATAGGGTATAGGGTTAGGGTATAGGGTTGGGTATAGGGTATAGGGTTAGGTATAGGGTTAGGGTTAGGGTATAGGGTTAGGGTATAGGTATAGGGTTAGGGTTGGGTTAGGGTTGGGTATGGGGTTTGGGTTGGGGTTGGTTGGGTTGGGTATGGCTTGGGTTGGTTTCGGGTTGGGTTGGGTTGGGTTGGTTGGGTTGGGTTGGTTTGGGTTGGGTTGGGTTAGGGTTGGGTTTGGGTTGGTTGGGTTAGGGTATAGGGTTAGGTGGTAGGGTATAGGGTTAGGGTTAGGGTATAGGGTTAGGGTTAGCGTATAGGGTTAGGGTATACACAAAAACAAAGGGTTAGGGTATAGGGCATACACAAAAAAAAATGTATGCACGCACGACTGTAAGTCACTTTGGATAAAAGCGTCTGCTAAATGGCATATTTTTTATTATTATTTATAGGGTATAGGGTTAGGGTAGGGTTAGGGTTGGGTAGGGTTGGTTGGGTATAGGGTTGGGTTTATGGGTTTCGGTCTGGGTATAGGGTTAGGGTTGGTTCGGGTCTGGGGTTTCGGGTCTCGGGTTCGGGTTCGGGTCCTGGGTTGGCTCTCGGGTTACTGGGTTCGGTTGGTTGGTCTCGGGTTTCGGGTCTCGGGTTGGGTTGGGTTAGGGTTAGGGTATACCCAAAAAAGGGTTAGGTTTATAGGGCATACACAAAAAAAATGTTGCACGAAACGACCTGTAAGTCGCTTTGGATAAAGCGTCTGCTAAATGAAATTATTATTATTATTATTATTATTATTATTATAGTATAGGGTTAGGGTTAGGTTGGGTGCTATGGGTTTGGGTATAGGGGGTTAGGGTATGGGTTGGGGTTAGGGTTTGGTATATGGTTGGGTTTCGGGTTCGGGTTCGGGTTTGGGTCTGGGCCTCGGTTTGGGTCTCGGTTGGGTTGGGGTCTCGGTTGGTTCGGGTTCGGGTCTGGGGTCTGGGGTTGGCTCTATGGTTGGGGGTTTCTGGGTTCGGGTCTGGGGTTGGGGTTTGGGTCTGGGTTCGGGCTCTGGGCCTGGTTTTCGGGTTCGGGTTGGGTTCGGGTTCGGGTCTGGGTTGGGTCTCGGGTCTGGGTTCGGGTTCGGGTTGGGTCTGGGGTCCGGGTTGGGTCTCGGTTCGGTTGGGTTGGGTTGGGTTCGGGTTTGGGTTAGGGTTGGGTTGGGTTCGGGTTCGGGTTCGGTCCGGGTTGGGTATTGGGTTCGGGTGGGTTGGGTTCGGGTCTCGGGTTCGGGTTGGGTTGGGTTCGGGCCCTGGTTCGGGTTCGGGTCTCGGGTTGGGGTTCGGGTTGGGTTCGGGTCTCGGGTCTCTTTTTCGGGTCTGGTTGGTCTCGGGTCCCGGGTTCGGGTCTCGGGTTCGGTCTCGGGTTAGGTATAGGGTTCGGGTATAGGGTATAGGGTTAGGGTTAGGGTATAGGGTTAGGGTTAGGGTATCGGGTGCTGAGTATCACTGTCCATGGCATTATTACTGTCTTTGTTATAGAGGTCAGTGGTCAAGCCAGCTTCACATTCTAAGCAGTCAGGACCTCAACTGATTCAATTCATCAATGGAAGAAATGTAAACTTTTCCTGATCTGAACCTGCATGGATGGTTACATGTTGGTCGTACAGCCATGATGTGTTGTATTGATGGGTCACGTGTTGGTCGTACAGCCATGATGGGTTGTATTGATGGGTCACGTGTTGGTCGTACAGCCATGATGTGTTGTATTGATGGGTCACGGTGTTGGTCGTTAACAATGTGTCACACCTGCTGTTATTATGTGGGATGACAGATAAATGACGATTTAGAGGATTTTGTAAATTACTGAAAGTGACATCCTTTTCTGTGTTCTGTTGCAATGTTGAAAAAATATAGTTGTCTGAGAGAATGCCTGCATTAACCCATTATAGTTGTCTGAGAGAATGCCTGCATTAACCCATTATAGTTGTCGGAGAGAATGCCTGCATTAACCCATTATAGTTGTCTGAGAGAATGCCTGCATTAACCCATTATAGTTGTCTGAGAGAATGCCTGCATTAACCCATTATAGTTGTCTGAGAGAATGCCTGCATTAACCCATTATAGTTGTCTGAGAGAATGCCTGCATTAACCCATTATAGTTGTCTGAGAGAATGCCTGCATTAACCCATTATAGTTGTCTGAGAGAATGCCTGCATTAACCCATTATAGTTGTCTGAGAGAATGCCTGCATTAACCCATTAAATATGTTTTATAGCAGTTGCAACTTTATTGACCTGACATTAATGAATTCATCACGTGGTCTAGTGTTCTGAGCTGGCTGTTATATCTGTGTTGTTCTGTCAGATTGTCCTTCATCTGACCAGGTCGGTCTGGCTGTCTGCTTCATCTAAACGGTTACTGTTGTAGTCAGTCTTCACACCTGGTGGTCCTACAGTATGTTCAGAGAGGACAGAGCTGTGGTCCAAAGGAATGTTCATAGAGGACAGAGCTATGATCCAGTATGTTTATAGAGGACAGAGCTATGATCCAGTATGTTTATAGAGGACAGAGCTATGATCCAGTATGTTTATAGAGGACAGAGCTATGATCCAGTATGTTTATGGAGGACAGAGCTATGATCCAGTATGTTTGTAGAGGCCTGGGTTTCATGTTGTTCATCACTGCAGTAGTGCCAGATTGCTATGTCAGAAATGTATACTGAACAAATATGTAAACGCAACATGTAAAGTGTTGGTCCCAGAAATACAATGTCCACCAGAGCTGTTGCCAGATAATTATATGTTAATTTCTCTACCATAAGCCGCCTCCAACGTAGTTTTAGAGAATTTGGCAGTACATCCAACCGGCCTCACAACCGCAGACCACGTGTAACCACGCCAGCCCAGGACCTTCACATCCGGCTTCTTCACCTGCGGGATCGTCTGAGGAGGGGGAGAGGGGGGGTGCTGAGTGGAAAAACTCATTCTGTTTGGCTCCTGGCCCCTGCCCAGTCATGTGAAATCCATAGGTTAGGACCTAATGAATTTATTTCAATTGACTGATTTCCTTCTATGAACTGCAACTCTGTCAA